AACTTCTAAAAGCATGTTAATATCAGGATCTAGAAAGGTTTCATTATAGTTATAATACCCCAAAGTCAGCATACCCAATTTCTACATTAATTTTTTTCTTATCTCCCTTACTCTTTCCGTTATAATTTGTACTTAAATCAGGAGAGCGATCCAGAGCATCTGTGTAGAAGGTTCTATAATTAATGGGTAAGCATCCAGGCATCGCTTGCCCTTTTAAATTTACACAAATGGGAGTGGTATCTGACATTCCTTCATAATTAATAATTTCAGAAGTTAAATGAGAAGTCCTAAAATCTTCAGACCCACCTAAAAGTTGGCTGTAGTTAGTCATTATTTTAATTTGTGATCCATCTCCCCATCCTACAGGATGTGAAAGAGGCGGGTTAGGTACATAGGCCCAATAAATCTCCCCTAAAGCAACTGACGCTTGTACGGTCAGAACAGCAAGAATTGTAAGAAACATATTTTCTTTTGTCAAAGGTTGCCCTGCAGCAACCATTTCTTTTGTCAAAGGTTGCCCTGAAGCAACTACAGCATTCTCTGCTTCATGAGTTAGTTTTTTTTTTCATTTGACCCCAGGTGGGCAGGCTGGCTTCCTGTGTTGATCGGGCCTGTGGAGGAGACACACTCAGCTTCTGTAGTTTGTGCATCACAGATTTTAGTCTTTCTCGATTCCTCTTTTTCTTGGGCTTGATTGTAGGGCTTGATGAGCCAGTCTGGGATCCATAAGGGTGTTTCAGCATCCTGTGGAAATACACATGCATATCTTCTTCCCGAGGTTATTAAAACATCAGGCCCTTTCCATTGACCTGACAAGAGGTCCTTCCACAGAACTTGTGGGTAATTTGACACTTTCATTCCCTCCCAGTGCTTTTGCATAGGGGTTAAGTTATTCTGATCTGTGTTAAGATGATTTAAAGTAAAAAGAGCATGATTAAGCAATTGGTGTGGTGAATAATAATGTCCCCCTTCTCTTAATCTTTGCAGCTGTAACTTAAGAAGTTGATGAGTTCTTTCTATAATGGCTTGGCCTTGTGGATTGTATGGGATACCAGTGATATGTCTTATTCCCCATGTATCACAAAATTTCTTAAAAGTATTTGAAGTATAAGCTGGTGCATTATCAGTCTTTAATTGTTTTGGAATGCCCAATACCATAAAACTTGCAATCATGTGTTGAATAACATCTTTGACTGCTTCTCCTGTTCTTGCCGAGGCAAAAACAGCATGAGAGCATGTATCCACAGTAACATGCACAAAAGCAAGCCTGCCAAATTCTGAGATATGAGTCACATCCATTTGCCATAGGACTTGAGGTTTTAATCCTCGAGGATTCACACCCATTTTTTGAGGATGATAAGCTTCCGGGCAACAATTACAGTTTTTTACTATTTGTCTAGCTTGTTCTCTAGTAATGTTAAACATTCTTTTAAGTGCTAAAGCATTCTGATGATGCAATTCATGGCTTTGCTGAGCCAATTCTATGACATTATTAATTGTTATTTCCTTAGTAAGCAAATCAGCCATTCTATTCCCTAAGGATAAAGGTCCTGGTAAATTAGTATGACTTCGTATATGTCCTATGTACATTTTCTCCTTTCTATTATTAATAGTTTGTTTTAATTTTTGTAGCAATGGCAATATCTTTGAGCTTCCTGAGAGTAAGGCTGTTTCTATAGCTGGAAATAAATTAACTACATACTTAGAGTCAGTATATAAGTTAAAAGGCTGAGTATAATGTTCTGCTGCCATGATAACTGCAGAGATCTCTGCCTGCTGAGCAGAAAAACTTTCACACCTCTTTATTAAAGGTGGTCTATCTGGTGAATAAACCACAGATGTTCCATTTGAGGAGCCATCTGTGAAAATTAATATAGCATCTTCTATAGGCATTTCTTTAACCTTTGAGGGAAATATTATGTCTGTTTCCTGTACAAATCTCAATATAGGATGTTGGGGAAGATGATATTTTATTTGCCCTGCATAATTTATTAATGCCAAGCCCCAGTCATCATCATTTTGTAATAAATACTCTAATTGTTGTCTCTTATAAGGGATAATTATATTATGCACATCTCTACCAAATAATTCTTTTGATCTAATTCTCCCCTTAACTATTAATTGGCTACATAAATAAATATAAGAAGATACCATTTTAACTTGTGTATGGGGTAAATGCATCCATTCCAAGATTCCTTCTTGCCATAAACATGCAGTTGGGGTATATGAAGTTTTTATTATTATTAAATCCCATGGTGCTTTATAATCAACTTGTTTTACCTTAGCTGTCTGTAGTTTTTCTTCTACCAATATTAGTTTTTCTAAAGCTTCTGGTGTTAATTGTCATTGTGATTTAGGATTAGCATCTCCTTTTAACAATTCAAATAGGGGGTGTAATTCTCCTGTAGTTATTTTTAAATAAGATCTTACCCAGTTTATATTCCCTAATAGTTTTTGAAAATCATTTAAAGTTTTCAATTTATCTATTCTGATACTCATTTTTTGTGAGCTGATTCCTTGCTCACCAATGACTTTTCCTAAATAGTGTAAAGGCCTATTATATTGTATTTTATTTGGAGCTATTATAAGACCATATTTACTTAATGATTGAATCATGTCTTTTAATATTGATTCTGCAGAATCTTTAGTTTTATGGGCCAATAGAATATCATCCATATAATGTATTATATAAGCATCCTTGTATTTAATCCTAATATCTTTCAATGCTTTATCCACAAATTTTTGACATAAAGTTGGACTATTTTTCATCCCCTGAGGAAGAACTTTCCATTGATACCTTTGAAAAGGTTGTTTTAAATTAGTTGATGGAACACTCAAAGCAAATCTCTGAGAATCCTCAGGACTTAATTGTATTGTAAAGAAACAATCTTGCAGGTCTATAATGATAATAAATAAGTCAAAGGGAATTGCCACCGGTGAAGGCAGACCAGGCTGTAAAACCCCCATGTCATGCATGGTTTCATTTATTGCTCTTAAATCTTGCAATAGTCTCCACTTACCGGATTTTTTCTTACTGACAAATATAGGTGCATTCCAAGGACTGGTTGATTCTACTAAATGCCCTTTATCTAGCTGTTCTTTCACTAAATATTCTACAGCCTGTATTTTTTCTCTGATATAGGGGGCCACTCTCTGATTTTTATATATCTGTACCACTTCTTTAAGAGGTCTAATCATTGTTTTTATTTCTCCAGTGAAATCAGAGTCTATGACTCCTGGAATCACTTCAAAATTCTTTTTATAATTTGAACTTCTGCCAATTATTAAGCCAAATGTACCAAAAGGCAGACCTCCTTTAATGGAGGTCTCTATTAATTGGGTCCCTTCCATAAGGGAGAGTATATAATCTTTATTTACTGCCAAATCCAGCCTAGCACTTCTTGGAGTGGCTCTAGGAAGATCATGCATACTAAAAAGTTCAGTCAAAGGATTTAGTTCAAATTGTTTGTCTTTTTCCTTACCTGAATTCGCCATCTCTATCCCTCTTTCTTTTAAGGGGTGAGGGCTTGCCCCTATCCTCATTTTATTTTATTTTATTTTATTTTTAGTTTTGGTCTCACTGTGTAGACCAGACTGGCCTTGAATACACAGAGATCCACCTGCCTCTGCTGGTGTAGGCCACCACCCCTGGCTTTTGATCTGATTTTATAAGCCTGCCCTCTAT